ATGTACCAGATATTTTAAATCCCAGGATTGAGCAGAGCCACTCTGCAGTGCGGTGACTAGGGTTGGTGTCACTCAACGTAGTAACTCATGGTATTACCCCCCACCCCTTGCCTCATGGGTATAGCTGACCCTCCCTGCCCTACCACCGACTTCTACCTGCCCTCCCACCCCTTCCACCAGGGCTAAGTCTGAACTACTGGGTTCCACCCCTCCCAGGCCCTTCTCCCCCAGCTCCCCACAGCTCGTTCCCTCTCCCATTGGCCAAGGCGGAAACACTCCTTTCTGCCCAATGGTGGGTGCCATGGACCACCTGCCAGCACCCAACTGGTGGGTGAAGGGAGTGGTGGTGGTGGTGGTGGTGGTGGTGGTGATGAGTTACCACACCGGGTGATGGGTGATGTGACACTAACCCTAGTGACAGCATTGCTTTGGTGGCCCCTCCTCCTACAGCACCAGCCTGCCTGCCGCTATGCCAGCAGACCTGGAACCATTTTGGTCTTACCTCCTCTGACAGTATCAGGGTGTGTGGCCCTCTGCACCCCCACTTAGTGACACCACTGCTGCTGAGTAGTGCATGAAAATCCCTGGTGGCAGAGCCAGTTGTGGCTGAGATCCTGCCAGCTCTTCTTGCTAAGTTGTGTATCCTGCATGAAACTGCAACTGTCCACTTGTTATTAGGTGCCATGGAGTCAATTTTCATTCATAGCTACCTCAGGTGACTGAGTAGAGCTGTACTCACATGGTGTTCTAGGCTGTAATCTTTATAGGGGCAGATCACTAGATCTTTCTCCCAAGGATCCACTGGGTGAGTTTGAACCAGCGACCTTTTGGTTAGCAGCCTTGCACTTATCTGTTGCACCACTGGGGAGACTGCCCATTGGGTGCCTTTTTCTAACTCTCTCAGCTCATTGGATGATCAGTTTTTTATATATTCCCATTAACTAAACTATAATGACTCTTTCCTACAATAAGTGGACTACTTGTCAGAAAGTGAAGGTCCATGAAACAAGCAGCTACAAAGCTGAAAGACTGATTTTTTGCTGAAAGATGAGGATCTCTGACAATGGCCATGAATGAATTCTCTCTACAATATGCTGCATAACCGTCCAGTACATGAACTTCATAACACACCAGTTTTCACACATCTGAATAACTTTCACTTTCCAAAGAATTAGCTTTATGAGACTTTATAGTTGATTAAGGAGGCAGCTGGTGTTCAAAAGCATATTTAAAATCCTGTTTTAGAACTTACCTACAAAGTCATGTATGAACTACATCAAAGTCTCTCATACTATTTTATACTCATCCCCTATTACCCAGATTATGCATCCACTTGAGATATTTATTATGCATGGCTTTGGGATATTTTTAAAACATGAATCTTTCCTTAAAGGAAAAAGATAGAGTGACCTTGAAGAATATTTGAAATATTGAATCATAAACCTTGAGGAAATTACAAAAAATATTTCTAAAATTAATTCTAACCCACAAAGGCATTGGCTCCCAAGGTGACTATTTTGCCAGAAAATGGGGGCAGTGTGCTAATGGAGCAGCCTATTGTAGTGTTTGATCAGGTGAACCTGGGAGGTAGACTGGCTTGGATTGAATAGTGGCTTTCCTACTTAGTAGGTAGGTAGTCTTAGAATCACTCAGTTCCGAGCGCCTTAGGATTCTTATCTATAAAATGGGAATAATAATGTATCTTAGTTCTCCAGTGTTGCTAAAACAGAAATAGCACAAGTGCATGGTTTTAACAAACAGAAATTTATTCTTTTACAGTTTAGGAGGCTAGAAGTCTGAACTCAGCATGCTGGATTCTAGGGCTGAGTGGAGGCTGCTAGGCCTTGGGCTTCAGACCTGCCTTCCAGGCCCAATGGAGCAAGCTGGAGGCCTCCCCTGACTCATGCAGGTGCTGGCTGCTGACGAATCTAAGATTGGCACTTAAAAGGGCAGATTGTTGGCTCACAGGCTGCAAAGGCAACAATCCCAAGATTGGCGGAAACATAGCAGGCCACTGATTGAAGTTCAGGAACTGGAGATGAAGACTGAACACAATGCAGGATCCTTTCTATATACACTGGGAGCAGGGCACACCCCAAAGGAAACTCTCCTTCAACTGATTAAACTGCTCATAGCAGATTCCACCATGGAGGTGGTTACACCACATCCAATCTCATCATGAGGAATAACTGCATCCAGCTGCCAAGCTGTCAAAATCATGGCCCAGGCAAATTGACATACAACCTTAACTATCACATAATAATTGTTCAATAATTTCCACAGTCTGTGGGATCACCTTTCTTAGGAATGGGTACAAATATGGATCTTTTCCAGTCAGTTGGCCAGATAGTTGTCTTCCACACTTGGCATAGCTGAGTGAGTACCTGTAGCACAGCTTCCGTTTGTTGAAACATCTCAGTGAGTATTCCATCAATTCCTAGAGCCTTCTTCTTTGCTAAGTCCGTCAGTGCAGCTTCAACTTCTTCCGCCAGTACCATTAGTTCTTAATCATATGCCACCTCCTGAAATGGAGAAACATCAACCAATTCTTTCTGGTACAGTGACTCTGTGTATTCCTTCCATCTTTTGATGTGTCCTGCATCATTCAATATTTTGCCCATAGAATCTTTCAATATTGCAACTCGAGACTTAATTTTTTTCTTCAGTTCTTTCAGCTTGAGAAATGCCAAGCATGTTCTTCCTTTTTGGTTTTCTAACTACAAGTCTTTGCACATATCATTATAATAACTGACTTTGTCTTCTTGAGCTGCTCTTTGAAATCTTCTGTTCAGCTCTTTTATTTTGTCATTTCTTCCATTTGTTTTAGCTACTCTCTGTTCTGGGAGCTCTGGTATCACAGTGCCTAAGGCACTTGACTACTAACCAGAAAGCTGGGAGTTCAAACCCACCAGCCACTCCTTGGAAGGAAGGTTGGGCAATCCACTTCCGTAGTGATACCACCTCAGAAACCCAAGGAGGGGTCTCTATGAGTCGAGTCTGACTCGATGGCACATAACAACAACAACAGCAACTCTCTGTTCAGGGGCAAGTTTCAGAGTCTCTTCTGACATCCGTTTTCGTCTTTTCTTCTTTTCTTGTCACTTTTAATGACCATTTGCTTTCTTCATGGGTGATGTTCTTGATGTCATCCCACAATTCATCTGGTTTTTAGTCACTGGTATGCAATACGACTACTCTATTCTTTAGACAGTCCCTAAATTCAAGAGGAATATAATCAAGGTCATATTTTGGCTCTGGTGGACTTGTTTTCATTGTCTTCAGCTTCAGTTTGTACTTGCACATGAGCAAATAATGGCCTGTTTAAAGTCAGCTCCTGGCCTTGTTTTGGCTGAGGATATTGAGATTCTCCATTGCCTCTTTCCACAGATGTAGTCAATCTGAGTCCTGTGTACTCCATCTGGTGAAGTCCATGTGTATAGCCAACATTTGTGTTCTTGGAAAAAGGTATTTGCAATGAATAAATCATTGGTTTTGCAAAATTCTGCCATGTGGTCTCCAGAGTTGTTTCTATTACCAAGGCCATATTTTCCAATTACTGGTGATTCTTCTTTGTTTCCAACTTTTGCATTCCAATCACCAGTAATTACACATCGTGATTGAATGTTTGGTCAATTTCAGACTGCAGAAGTTGGTAAAAATCTTCAATTTTCTCATCTTTGGCTTTGGTGGTTGGTGTGTAAATTTGAATAATAGTAGTATTAACTGGTCTTCCTTGTAGGTGTATGGATATTATCCTATCATTGACAGCATTGTACTTCAGGATAGATCTTGAAACAGTCTTTATGAAGATGAATGCCACACCATTCCTCTTCAATTTGTCATTCCCAGCATAGTAGATCATATGGTTGTCTGATTCAAAATGGCCAAAACCAGTCCATTTCAGCTCACTGTTGCCTAGGATATTGATCTTTATGTGTTCCATTTCATCTTTGACAACTTCAAATTTTCCTAGATTCATACTTCATACATTCTATATTCAGATTATAAATGGGTGTTTGCAGCTGTTTCTTCCCATTTTGAGTTATACCACATCAGCAAATGGAAGATTTTTGAAGCTACACTCCATCCACATCATTGAGATAGGGTCTACTCTGAGGAGCAAGCTCTTCCCTTGTCTTATTTTGAGTGCCTTCCAATCTGAGGGGCTCATCTTCCGGCACTATATTGGTCAGTGTTTCAGGGCTATTCATAAAGCTTTCCAGTAATATATCAGATGGTGTTTCACTGCTATTCATGATGTTTTCACTGGCCAATTCTTTGAGAAGTGGGTTGCCTCTTCCTTCTTCTCAGTCTGTCTTAGTCTAGAAGCTCTGCTGAAACTTGTCCATCATGGGTGACCCTGCTTATATTTGAAATACCAGTCACATAGCCTTCACCCTTATAGCAACAGGCAAGCCACCACAGTACAAAAAAACTGACAGACAAGTGGTGGTCTTTGAAATTAGACATGGCCATACTAGGAGCTCTGGTAGCATAATGGCAAAAGCACTTGGCTGCTAACCAGAAGGCTGTGGTTCAAACCCACCAGCCACTCCTCGGAAGGAAGGTTGGGCAATCCTACTTCCGTAGTGATACTGCCTCGGAAACCCAAGGAGGGGTCACTATGAGTCAGGGCCGACGCGACGGCACATAACAACAACAACATATATGACTTGCTCTGGTCAATGCAACAGAGATGGATATGACTCCACATCTAGGAGGAAGCTTCAGTGTCATTTTATCCCTCCTTGAGTGATTATAGAAGTATCTTGTCAAGATGTGCTTCCACTGTTGGGCTTGTGGTATGTTTGAAAAATGTTTCTTGTAATTTTAAGCCACTGAGAGGTTAAGTTTCTGTTTACTGTAGTATAACTCACCTTGTCCTTGCTGACACAACTATTGAATAAGTTAGAAACATAAAATACCCAGTAAGGGATTGTAAAGCTCATTATAAAAAGTAGGAGATGCTAAAACCTGGCTGTAAAGAGCTGAATACAGACCTTCTGTGCCCTCCGTTTGTCTGCTCGTTGATTCTGGTGGTAGATCCGACTGAAGTTGGAAACAATCACTGGAACAGGTAGTGCAATAACCAGGACCCCACTCAGTGAACAGATGGAACCAAAAATCTTCCCTGCTATGGTTTTGGGCACCATGTCACCATATCTGGATTAGAGAGAGAAAAAGATATTGTTTTAAATCACGGAAAGACATTTCTACCTGTTACAAGTAGTTTTTTTTTGCTGTCAGTCAACTAAGTTTTTGATTATATCTACTTCTGTTTCCATGAAGGCAATATACATGATCTCAGGCTTTCATAAACTGGAAGTTACAACTATCTGAATAGAAAATCTGTTTTTCACCCTTGCAGAAATTGATTCTAACATTTAGAAATCTTTGATTGGAAAATATTTTAAGCAACATGGCTTAGTGATAGTGCTTCAGTTTGTACTTTGTATAATACGGCATAGCTCTTGATATTTATTTGATCGTCAATATTTCCTTGCTGAATTTTACACTCCAGATAACACACGTTTCACTTAATTTTTTTAAACATTGGATTTGCTATGAAATTTAAGAGGAAAGAGTAGTACATCACATTCCTTTCAAGAGCTATAATCACTTATAGAAGAAACTTTCAAGGTCTCCATGAACCTGTACTGGTGAAACCCAGTGGCCATTTCTCCATGTTAATCTTACTCTCATCTCTATGTGACATAGTTGTCAGCTCTGTCACTGAAACATTCCCTGCTCTTGGCTTCTCTATCAGCAAATTCCCTTGGTGGTCTGACTAGTTCATTGACTACTTCCTCTCTGTCTTCTGGGCTGGCTCCTTTCCCTTGTTTGATTTTGAAATCTTGGAGTATTTCAAGGCTGAGGCTTGAGTCCTCCTTTCTTCATACAAACCCTGTCCTTCTGTGATTCCACATCATCCTATAGCTTTAAAGCAATCTAGATGCTAATGAAGAAGCTCCAATGGCACTGTGTTTAAATCAGTGGGCTGTTCACCAAAGGTTGGCAGTTTGAACCCTCCAGTCCCTCTGTGGGAGTGTTCTGGTTACCTAGTGCTGCTCTGAGGAGAAGTATACCACAAATGGAATGGCTTTAACAAACAGGAGTTTATTCTTACAATTTGGAGGCTTTAAGTCCAAGTTCAAAGTGCCAGGCTCTAGGGGCTGGGTGAAAGCCCCTCAACCTTGGGGTCCAGCTCTGCCTCCTGCTCCTGGCCCACTGGAGCTAGAGGCATTTCTTCACTCAGATAGCCACTGGCTGGTGAAGCTGAAAAGCCCCAAGTTTGATAAGTAAAAAGGCACTGTCCCGATATTACCAAACCACATGGCAGGCCATTAACTTAAGTCCATTAAGTCCCAAGGTTGGCAGAGCATAGCAGGCTGCTGAGCAACGACACGGCTACATGCAGGGTCCAAGCGTGCCATAGGCTAGAGACCATTGTCAAAGCTTCTGCTTATACACAGGAAGCAGACCACATACCCAAAGGCAGCTACCCAGCTGCTCCCAGGAGATTCCACCATGGAGTTGATTACCAGTCTCCTAATGGGGATTAACTACCACCAGCTGCCCAGCCACTCAACCAGGCCTAGCCAAGTTGACATACAAACATAACCATCACAGGGAGAAAGATGAGGCAGTCTGCTTCTGTAAAGATATACAGCCTTGGAAACCCTATGCGGCAGTTCTACTCTCTACTGTAGGATTGCTAGGAATCACAATTGACTCCATGCAGTGGGTTTGGTTTGGTTTATATGCTGACGACTCCCTGAGTTATATTAACAGTCCTGATGTGTCCCCCGAAAGTTACTCATATTTCCTGTAATATTTTGTGATTATCCCTACACTGGACGTCTAAGAGGCAATTAAAAAAACGGAACTCTTAATTTACTTGTCCCTCATCTCTTCCCAAACTTTTTCCTCCAACAGGCAGCCACCTCTAAATAAGTGGGACTACCCACCACACAGTTGCTCAGGGTCTCTGCCTGTAGTCTAGCCACTGGGGAAACTAAATCAGAATGTGAAGACTATATTAATGAGAAAACAGTCAAATGTAACGGAACTTAGAATGTAAGTGAAAAAGGTATGACTTTCTTACCATAGGGATAGTTGAGTAGGATTGGAAAGTTAACTTCTTTTTCTAAAATGCTGTATGTGCATGAGCCAGTTTCTATCCACCATGGTTCATGTCAATGCATGGCCATATATTATAAACATCTTTTTTCTCTTTACACTGAATGCACAGTAGCCATTGGAGAAGATTAAAACACATGCACATGTGTGCACACATAGACACCCCCCAAAAAAGCACAGCTTTAAAAACAGAAAGTGATTTGATTTTTAAGATTTAGAGAGGGTTTCTCAAAAGGAAAAGTAAATAAAAATTCAATTATTTGATTGCAATGGTTAGAGAGGGCAGGAAATGAGTTCATATCATTAAAATAAATCTTGAATAGTTAAATAAATACCTCATATAGTTTTTCTTCTTTCTATCAGGTTTTTAAAAACGTATGCTTTTTGTATTGTAGTGCCACTATGTCACGGAGTAGACAATGTCAGCACACTTACTAGAGAAAAACTAAGGCCACACTGCATGGTAGGGATGCAACACTCAGTAAGAGTACAGAAGACCAAAGACCTCTGAGCTCCGGGAGAAGGCAGGAGTTGGGGAGTCATGTACACAGAAAGCCAAGGCCTAAAGCAAAGAGGAGGAAGACAGATTCAGGGCACTCTGCAAAAGGGACCTTGGCCACGTCAATAAAACATCTGTTATCTTTTTCCTCTTGGGTGGAGAGACAAAGTTTCCCCGTGTTCCAACCAGTTAGGATGGGTCTGCTATGAGGACGAAGCAAAGGGTGATGGCGAAAGAGCAGAACAAGCATTTGTGCTCAGATAGCCCAGGTTTTCCTGGGACGAGTCACGGAAGGGCGGCCTGAGACCCCGGCTGACTGCTCAGGAGCACAACCTACTTCCTTCCCCACCCCTAGCCATTGAGCCGACTGTGACTCACGACAACCCCACGTGGGTCAGAACACAACTCGGCTCCACAGGGCTTTCCAGGGCTGGTTTTTGGAAGGGAGTCGTCAGTCTTTTCTTCTGAAGCACCCCCGAATGGACTTGAACCTCCAAC